TCCACTGGGAACCGCGGATAAGGGAATGGCTGGAGAGGATTACGGGGAGTCACCCCCTGCCGTGGGAGCTCGCCCCCTTCGAAGCCAGCCCCACTAGCTCCTCCTTCAGGAGGAGGTGGCAGGATTTCAGGTGGCGGAGAGGATAAGACCGGCTCGGCAGATCCGAACTCGGTGCCCCCCGAGGGGGGAGTCCGATCGGGGCGCGACCTCTTCTCTTTGTGCCTCTGGTTGCTCGAAAGGAGGCGGCGCAAGTTGATACCAGACATGATGGCTGCCAAGAAGAAACCGCAAAGTGATAGTTCGGTAAGAACGAAGTATATGTATATGAACACAATGTTATGACAAGTACTACGCGACCTAAAAAGGCAACCTACCTGGGCTCAGGCCAGCCTGCACGAGCTTCTCCTCGGTCAAGTAGTCTGAACAGAGGAAGCCTACTAATGCCCAGGACAGCATCATTTTCTGAGTATCGAGGTCCAGCTCGACCTCGAAGTCCTGGATGGCACCCCTCCAAGAAGTAGGGAAGGGCCACCCTTCGGGGTTGCGGACCAAAAAATAATCCCGCTTCCAAGTAGGAATTTTTTTCGGGAGCTCATGCAAGAGCTTGTAGCCACGGCGGGGAGAGAAGTAATAGAGACGCCTCTCCGGTGGAGCCCGGGGGTGGCATTCTTTATACAAAGGATAGCGGAAAAAATGTCGAGATTCAAGGGAAGACAATATTCCCAACACAAGGATATAGTCCCAACCATGTTTCGAATGGCATTGGGATGAAGTTGATCGATGGTGACATTAAAGTGGTTTAGCACCTCCACTATCAAGGGGTGCAGGGGAAGACGCAGGCCAGCCTCAAGCTGCTCCTAGTAAATGACTATCTCATTGGGACTATGCTCCCATGGAAAGTTACCAGTGGGAAGGCAATAGAGGAAGTCCCAAGGAAGGTGGAAATAACTAATTAGAGACCTAAGCCTCCCCTCTGTCATGGAGGAAGGGCCGAAAGAATTAGGATCCCTTCCTCGGGAAGTAGAGGCTCCGTCACCGGAGGTCTCCCGGGCCCCCGGGACCTGCTCCCAAGCTCCCCCCGAGCTCGAGGGAGCATCATCGCCGTGGTCACCGCCCTGATGATGAGTATGGTACGAGTACCCAAACATGACTGACAGTAAGTAAGACTCACCGAAAGGGACGGGATGAAGTGAGTTGAGGAACTCGAGTAGACTTGACAGATGCGTGACCTCAAAATCCGAAGATAGCAAGATGGCGTGAGGGAAAAAGAGACCCAGAGGGCCCTCCTATTTTTAGCCCCCACTCCTCCAAATCAACGGCCCAGATTAAAGCAAATCCAACGGCTCGCAGGCGTACTGACCGCACGCCTTCTGAAAATCAAAAGCGATTGGATGCACATCTTCCATGATTAAGGTAGTGATGACTGCACGACATCCGGAGTTAAGTGCCACTTCAGCACATTTTCGGAATCCGAAAAGTCAAAAAATCTCCTGGTTCCCGCAAACGCATTTAATGTGAGTAGTCAATCAAGTTTGAATTTCGGTCAAATCAGTCCGTCATACTTCGTGAACTCCTCACGCTAAGGCGACACTCTCAGCCCAAGGAGTGGGGGGCAATTGATGGAGGATGATTTGGCCCGACCTACGAAACGGTGACACGTGGACCTGACTCAGCGTGAGTAACAGCTCAACTTCGTGGCCCATTACAACCAAGTAATGAGCCCATAAAGCAGCTCGCCGCATCGTAGCTCGTAAAGAAGAAGCTTGCCACAACGCGAGCTCCGGGTTCCCCGAGGTACCCCGAAGGGGATGTTCCAAGGCAACTTTAGCTCGCGAGATAGGGAAACCAGCTCGCCCGGGCCCCCAAGCAGATAAGCCGTCCCAGGGACCAATTCTATTAAGGGTAACCCTGAGGTATTCCCAACCTCGCTACAAAGTGGTTCGCAAGTGCACAACATGAGCGTTCCTCAGGAAGCTTCTATCTGACAGGCCGTACCGATCAAACTGCGCCACGTCCCTTAACTGACGGCACAGTCCCTGTCCTTTTGACAGTCTGCACCCACGTCTCTCAGCAGGCGGAGTCGCACTTGCCCCTTGGAAACATGTCACTCACCCAGGTAAGGAGTACGTTGCAACGGCCACCTGCGCAGCCTTGGCAGGGGTCCAGTGGCAGTTATGCCCGATCTGACAAGAATGCCCCTATAAAAGCCCTCAAGGCAGAGGGGAAAAGGGATCTTCAGACTTTGGAACACATTAATATTTTCATACTCTAAACTGCATACACCTCTGCTCGCGAGCTAATCTCTCGAGCACAGTGATAAAGCGCGACCTACACTTTTAGCTTTAGCACTCTTCTTTTCTCTTTCCCCTGCGTTCTGACTTAAGCATCGGAGTATTCCCACCGGGTAAATCCCCGAGAATCCTTCTTTTCCGTCTTCCTAAGTGTCGTCCGCCGCCAACAAGGAGCCAGTCAGCAGATGGATAGAAGTGCCCAGATCGCGCCGCATCATTATGGATCTATGTATTACTAAGACTATAAGTGAAGCAAATTGGATGAAACTGTTTTACGTCTTCTTTGAATAATATATATTCCTTACAAACCTTACCTTAACAGTAGAGTGAATCATGTGTTTGAAACCAGAAATTTTGGATATATAGTATTGCCCCATTTGTCTCTCTCTATATATCTGTATTTTGAACAACAGCATGCATTAGAGAGTACAACTCTCAACTCAGGTCTCAGGGCCCAGAGTGGGATCGATTGGGTGGTTGCAACTTGCAATAAGAATTCGTATACTGGTCGAAAGGACACTAAAAACAAGCAACCATGAATTAATCTTCTTGTGAAATACCCAATTCATCAAGCCCTAAACAGTAAACACCATTAATTGCAGCTTCCTCGTGCAACAATGCTCAACTCTGGTTTGGCCTTTGTTGTACTACCAAGCTAAATACTATTGATCAGTTGATCAGTTCACTCAAAACAAAAGAGAGCTTAGAGCTAGCCAGTGTTCATGGTCCCCCATCGATCAATATCTACTTTGCCACTAACACCGCAGATAAATCAGCAATGGAACGGGAAGGAAGCTGGGATTGAACAGGTCTGCTGCAGCTATTTGGTCACAACAAATTTTTTGTGAATTACCCGGTAAAACATTGACATGATCTCGCTCCAGTCCTGCCTCCTCCTGGTATTCATCAAAATTCACGGAGCACGGAAATTTCTGATTGGTTGATATCGTCTCCTTCCGGCATCATAGAAATTGCCCCATTTTTTGCTTTTTGACCAACTCACTCACTAGTCACTAGTGTATGTGTATGTTTATATCCTATTTTCTTGGGCAGCCACAAAGTTTTGGTGGGACCATGATGCAGACACGTGTCATCTCTCATCATCATCATCATCATCATGCATTAATGTAAATACATGCATTATGTCATCATCATCATCATGCATTCATGTAAATACATGCTATATGGGGTGCAATAGGCTGAGCCTGAGGTCCAAGCTGGCCAGAGTCACCACAAAAGGGAAGCTGATGTGAATTTTCATGAAGAATCTCTCGTTCATGGAGTCAAAAATAGAGACCCATGTTAATGTTTTTTAATCAAATAAAACAAGAAATTGAACATTAATGTTCTCCCGTTAGGAAAGGTCTAAGGTTTCAAGAAATAAAGGTTTTCAGCCTTCACAAAACAAAGGGAAGATAGATGGGTCTTACTTGCTGACTAAGAAAATGGACCATTGCCGCATCTCTCTCCTCTCTTTCTCTCTTCTCTCTCTATATATACTATAGTCTAGTAGATCAGTTGGCTACAACACTAATTGCTTCTCGCCTCTCAAATCTTTGGAATTCGAATCTCGAACCCTTCATGGCTTGCTTCCCCACCTTGTTTGGTTGGTTTCTTCGATCCAGCCGGATTATATGTGAAACCAAAATTCCTACAATAAAAAAGTTGGAGAGCCCCGATACCGCCAGTTTGTGTAATTCAGAGAGTAGATCCACGGATGGCCCTGCAATCATAGTTCCCTGTTTCCCTTCTGGGGGAGGAACACTGTCTTGTCTATAACCTGCTACTTCATGCTTTCTCCTCTCTCTCTCTCTCTAGTTTTTTTTTTCTTCAGTTTTGTCTCTTTTTTCATCCTTTCTTGATAAAGGGGACTTCTATTTTATAATCTTGTATTCTTGTTTGATCTCCAATTTTAGTGGGTTACTTGAGATTGAGCAATATGCACCCCTCTTGCAGGACCCAATTGGTGGATACTAAGGCTTTCACTTGCTACCATTACTACATTGTTTTTACCCGTTTGGTCTAGATGCTTTTAATTAAGATCATTTGCTTCTCTTTTGTGAATCAAATATATAGACTTGGTAGTTAAGTGGTGTAGCAATTCATTATTCATTAATCTCTAAAGAGTGCAGTTAGTTAATCATCAGACTCGGATACATAATCACTCACACAAGGCCCGCGTTCCACTTCTTTCAACTGTAAGAATATTGGTGCCAAAAAGAATTCACGCCAACGCGGATGTCAATTGAATTTCAGTTTTACCTAGGTTCAATATTTTAAGCAGATCTTATGATTTTCGTCAGTTTCCTCTGAAAAAATAAAGAATGATACATTTCGGGGTTGAAGAAATGGCACGAAATTCTCTTGGTATTTTCTTGGATGAATTTTAATGCAATTTGTTTGGATAAGTTTTCATCTTAGATATGTGATTCCCATCAAAATCACTCACAGCATGCATCTTTCCTTTGTTCTGCATGAAAGGCTTCGTATGTTCTGTTAACCATTGTCAAGTTCTATTCCACCGGAACTCTGAAGCTCTATCATATGGGAACCAACCATATGATGAGTTAAGTAGATAAATTTTGTGACGATGGATGGCTCTAGGTTAAGTAGATAAATTTTGAATCGAATAGTGAAACAGAGTAGCTTAAGGAATTAATGGATTAGGCTTTTATTACATAACATGTATCAAATCTTGCTGTCAGCCTGTCAAAAAGGAGGCCAAAAGAGGCCAGTTTCTTTTATTTCTTTAAGCTTAAAGAGAATGTACTACTACACATAATTTAGTAGTATAAAACAAAATGAATGCCCATTACATCAGTTACAGCTAAATCTGGGAATACAAAAGTCTGCACTGCAGAGAGGATCAAAATGGATGGATTTGGCTTCACTTGAGAAAGTAAAGAGCTGCTTTTAATCTTTCTCTGGTAACTGGTATCTAGTGGTGTATATGACCACCGGGGATGCCTTCTCTCTGAACTGATTGCAGTCCAACCGGGACTGCTAATGATTAGTCAGAAGTCCAATCTAACTGAGTGCAACAAGAGATGACACACAGATGAGACAAAGTCACAAAAGCACCAAGCAGACGTCCTGTGTCCCCCGAGTCTCAGACCCAAAGAGAACAAGAATAAAGCTCCACATGAATACAGGTTAAAAGATTCCACTCCAACAGGTTTTAGGGCCCAGACAAATAAATATTAGCCTAGGGAGAAGGGACACTTTACCTTTAGTCTGGGCTGGACCAGTCAAAGGAATGGCTTTAGGTCTCAGCGGCCAGCCTATGGGCATTTGATTGTGATTGTGACCTCGCCGCTTCATGCTGCCATTGTGCCATATCCATATGTCTTTGCCTGCATGGAGGTAACTATTTTTTTTCTTTTAGACATAGAGGTAACAACTATTGCCTTCGATAATTATAGCATTGGCATAAAAAATTGACGAAATTACCTGAACAGGATTTATGTACAACACTGCACTAGTGTAACCTATCTAACAACCACAAATCTCCTACACATTTAATTAGACTGGTCCAGTGCAACAGTATAATCCATGCAATCATGCATACATGCCTGCATATAACACTCTGGAGTCTTAACAGGAAAATTAAACCAATCTCTGGATCTGCTAATGGCAAAAAATTAATCTTGCAAGTACAGAAAGTTGAACAGAAGAGGCTCCACCAGTACAGCTCCCTTTTCATTCTAGAAATTCTAGTCTCATTGTACATAAAAATAGTAGATGCATACAGGAAGGAACCAAAGTCTAACAGTCGATCCTTGTAATCAATGTACAAAATAAACTCCAATGGGCTTCTCAAGCACATCACCTGCTCATGAACTTGTAAGGACTAACATAATACACCATTCCTCTCCACTAGGCTACTCTGTTAACTTGCCAAGTTTTCCAAAAGTGCACATTTATGATAAGATTATACATATATGTCCATTGCAAACCTATAGGAAAACCTAGAGATGGACTATAGCCCAGACGAATCTGCCAAATTTTTCCTCTGTTCCTAGATGTCCTAATTGAAGCACATTTCTTTTCTCATCAGTCTTCAGATCCTTCTTTTCATGGTAAACTCTGGGATTCTACCAAAAAATGCTTCTAGGATTCAATCAAAGATTGAAAATGAATTGTTTCCCAACCTTGAGACTGATTCTAAAATGTGGATTGATGGCTGGTGAACATTTTGATCAATTCAATGTGCCATTCTCTCGTGGCACAACTTTGTGACGATGGAAGAAATCTCCTCCCTAGGATAGCAGAAGCCATCAGTGCCTATCGTACAGGAGTAGTCAGCTCCTCCCACTTTAGGCCATTGTACCTTATCCCAGTTCTCATCTCCATTCTTTCTCTCTCAAAATGCCACTCAGTTTCAGAGTTGTAAAGCCAGGTCAGGCTGTTGGGAATCAACCATAATGCCTGAAGACTGCCTCACTGGAGATCCTGATGACTGGCAACCAATGTTCAAGTCCGGAGGAAGCATTTCCTGCTTCTGCTTTGGTTGTGTATGTGGAACAAGACCCCGCCAAGGTGACTCTGTCTGAAACCTTGCTAAGTCTGTTGTTACTAATGGAGGGAGGATCATAGGTCCACTGTTTTGATGACGTGCCCCATTACCTACATAGAAAGATTGTGGACGAAATGCATTAGGGGTGAACCTACTTTTCTCAGACTGCATTTGCAGCCCACTAGAAATAAGGAGTTCCTCGCATCGCGAAACAGGTTGGGGGAGTTCCCGTGCTGGATTATAGAGAGAAGCAGCAGCAATCTGCATTTTGGGTGAGCTCGAATTATCTCTTGGTTTAAATTCTGCAGCCCCAACAGACATCCATGCCCGGGCAGCAGTATTGGCAGCAGTGCTTGAATCATCTCTTCTTGAGGATTGAACAGTGCTTGAGTCATCTCTTCTCAAGGATGGAACTGGTTGAGTATCAACCATAGGGCAGATAGAAGATTTCTGCTGGTTTTGTGTCTTTTCAGCTAACATCTTCATCAACTGAACCGGGTCACTGAGACCCTGTTCTTGACTTCCACGAGGAAAGCAATTCACATATCCAGACGGTTGGCTAGGAACAACGTTAGAGGATGAACTGGTTAGTCTATTGCCATTGGAGCTGCTAGTTACAACCTTCCCATTAGACAAACCTCCAGCAACAGCCCCTTCAGACTCTGTCTTCTTGAAGGGTATAGATTGCATAAGATTCCTATTTCTTGACACCATCTCAAGCAATCTCAAACTTGTCATTTCTGAACTGCACTCCAACTGCTTTCTTGGTGCAATCTCAGTAGGGCCCCCACCAGCTGATGATGAGCAATTCAACTCAACTTGTTGAGGAATATTATTATTAGATTTGACAAAATTCATGATTGATGGCATTTGCCTCTGTGATGTAGAATTAATGATGGGTTTGGTTCCAACAACACCAAACAACTTCCCTTCTAAGTTAGAGCCACCATGCACTATTGCAGGATCTGGGGCCTTGATACAAGACGCCATTCCAGATGAGTTTAAAGTTCTGAAACCCAGTTTAGCCTCATCTTGTGCAACTTTTAATCCCTCTGTACTCCTGTCATCTTTTCTCAACTCAGGTTTACAATTCAAATTTGTAATGCAAGCCGGTTGTTTTGGATTGTTGTTTTCAACCATTAGTACAGGTGTTGGAAGAGGTTCATATTCTCCAACCCACCCACGGCCAAATTTAACTCCCACAGGCAGTGCCTGCTCAATTCTCTGGGAGGCAACTTTCCAAGCAATAGGTCCAAGAGTTGCAGCAAAACGTGCCAGGCTTCTTGCGTAGGAATGGTCCGCATGAAGGCCAACCTGATTCAGAAAACCAAAGTGGGTGAGTACAGAAAAAATAATTATGGAAGGAGGAAATATGTAATTAATTACATACAGCAACAAACTGCTTGCTTTCGCCATCAAAAGTTGTAAATATTGACTCAGTTCTGATCACTGGTTGGTTGGATATGTTGTAAGTTGCACGACGGTTCTCATCCACAACAAATGGCTTCCTCCCAAATTTGGATGGAACCCCCTTCCCTGAAACAAGAGAAAAATGCTGCAATAAGCAAAGGAACCACATAAATTATGTTGCAGGCACAGTTTTATGCATGCATGTTCAACCTTTTACCTACAAATGAGGAATCAGGATCATGGATTAAAGGTTCACACAAGATTGAATCATATTATGATTTAAGAGAGACATGTTAGAATTCATATCCCAGGTGAATGAGGATCATGCAAAACCATATCAGGAGATAACATCATCCATGTCCCATTCTAAGATTCCAGACACAGGTATTCGTTTAATATGCAATATCATGTACCATTGTATCTGGTTTTTGAAGCTAAGACTATGAGTCATCAGTCAACACTTACATCTTGCCAAATTCAATTAAATGAATAATATACATAGATTTTTTATACTATGATATGGTAAAGCATGCCATTTTACATATTTTAGGATTTAGGAATATTGCTGCTATAAAATATATGGTACAAGTGGCCATAAAGTGTCATATCAGGGTGCAGCATATAGTGTCCAAAACCAGTAAACTAGGCATGTACAGGTATCCATGAATCATTACAGACTGACAATATATTCCCAATATCTTGAAACTCATTACCATCCCTGGAATATCCTACACGCTTCCTTTAGAAATGGATGCCTTAAGACTTTTAAGTGGGTGTTTGGTAAAAGGACAAAATGATTCTTCAAAATTGCTTCCTCAGGAATCACCAAGTTTGAGGCATTTGGTAAATACCAGATTTCTCAAATATATATATATATATATATTGGTAGAAATAATGTTGACATGGCTTTTTTTATTTTGTGTGATTATGTTTCCTGTGAGGTGTTTGCACATTATTGCCATGTTAGAAATCACTTCACCCCTAAACATGAAAATTAAGAGTAACAAATTTCTATACTGTTTTTCAAAGGAACAGCTTACCAAATGCAACTTACTATATGTCCATACCTGAAAGGTGCTCCTCTGTCTTCTCTGGTTTATTATCAATCAGGCAAGAATTGACATCCCCAACTCCATCAACATGGTTAGACTTCTCAGCTTGCACCAAATTTGACCAGGTACAGGCATCACCTGTGGTGGCAAGAGTGGCACCTGAGGAGAAATCAGAGCCAAGAGGTTCCTGAGTATTCCTGCACAAGGACTTCTTTACTGGCTTCTTCAATACAGAACCTGTTTTAGGTTTTTCCTCTGACTTGAGCTCTGTCTCAGTACGTCCAATATCAATTCGTAACTTCTGGAATTTCTTTCTGGCCAATTCTTGTATGGATCGTGCCTTTTTAGAAGAACAAGCCGTTAGGAACAAACCAAACAAGATTAGGCTATAAACAAAAAAAAAAAAACAGGATAAAAGGCTTTACCTGTTTAAAATATATGGTTTCTGGGGCATTGTATTGCATTGCATTTGTGCAAATAAGGAAAACATCACTCTGCATGTATAAACTATGGTTAGAAGCCTATGTATAACAATATCAAAAAGGCAAAAGCATATTACTTCTTATCCTTGAACATTGTTGCTTAGACTTAGAAGGAAGTAAGCAATATAAACAAGAGATTCCTTCACTGCCATATCAACAACATTGTAACTACAAACCAAAAAAGCACAGAAAAATACAACTTGTGAAATAGTATAACATCTGTATCAAGGACATCTTGTGTAACAGGGATAAATTTAATTTATTGCTGTATTATTCTATGCGCAGATGGGACTTATCAATTTGAACCAATCTTGAGATTATAATAATTGAACGCATGTGGCTTCATACCTCTCTTCTAATAGTGCAACACTATACCAAATAATTGACCTAAGCTTTCTTTCCTTGGAAACTTTCAAAACAAACTAGCTCTATTTGCCATATCAGTGGGAACTAATATGCATTGAAGTAAAGAAATATATACTACATACTGCAAAAAGAAAGGAAAGAATAAAAGCAGGCTTGACATATGAAATTGATAGAATAGATGTAGAACAGAATTCAGTTAGATTGAAAGAGATAAGAATGATCAAGTTCCCTGCTGATGAGTGAAGAGTGCCCAAACATGCATGGAGCATGCATTCTTGAAAATTTTGTGCTAACAAGATAAATGAAAAACTTTTTAAAATGTATAGTTGTCTAATAAATATCAAGGTCAGATGGACCAAAACCAAGTAGTATAACAAGGTCCTATGTGTTCTCATGGATGGACCCATAAAACCAAATATAGGACCACACAAATAGTATGCTTTTTTTCCATGGAGTTATAGACATGTAGAGTAAAAACAGGTCCTATGTGTTATCAGGGTGCAGATGTTCACTAGGTGTGATGCTGCCCTTGCCAGTCCTTAGTCTTGTTGGCAAAGTCAAGTAAATATCCACCTAAAAGCATCCAGCACCATTGAGATTTCTTTTTTATCCAATTCTAAGAGAAAGCCAGGGGACATTGACTTGCCATCGGGAATAGGCAGAAGAAAAGTTTCCCTAAGTCCATCAGGTTCCTATTTTTTCAACCTTTCATGCACCTAAATAGACCCTCTGTGTCATTGGATGAAGTAAGAAAAAAATATACTAAAATAGAAGCTTGGGAGAATGTTTCACTAAAATTGTGACATAGTGTTTGCCTGCACACATACAGAATCTTATTAAAAGGCAGCTGTACCACAAGTTAAAAGAGATGACTGAATATCTCCTTGCACTGTGGGTAATCTTACAAGACTCTTTCCATGGTAATTTTGCAGTGGTGTACTAGTTAGATAAAACATCACAATTGACAAAACTTTTGTTTATAACTATATGTCGTCCTTGCACTGGTATTCAATTAATTGAGTGAACATGTTGCCAAAACAACTCTGACAAGTATACATGAAATGAGGGTGTCAGAAAAAGTGACGGAACCTAAATGGAAATTAGGGATTCATGCAAGTCTGAATATCAGAAAGGTTACATGATGCTCATAATAAGCATCCAGTCCAACACTCTACCTTTATGAATTCATTCTCAATCATTAGCATGTCAACCATAAAAGAAAAATTATGTACTCTAGAGAATAATTAATAGAAAATGAAAATAAATATTTATAACACCTGGAGGCGCAAGCAGTTATAACATATTCTATGGAACAAGGCACTATAAATGGGAGAAAAATGTGTGTATTTATTATATACAAGTAAGAAAGAGATAAGATAATTAGCCCTCTTCAGAAAAGAGAATAATAGAGAAAGAAACACTAAATGGTGGAAAAAAAAAAACAAGCAGGCAAGCTTCAGCATTACGCGCTACATTTAAGTTAAAAGACATGGACTCTTACGATGAAAGAATGCGAAAGAAACAGCAGAGCGGAAACAACATTAGAGATATTGATAACCGTTACGATCCCCTAAATACCCAATCTAATAAAGACACCTTAGCCATGGTATAAACAGGATTTCTTCCTCTTGAACAATACAAAAATTTAAATAAATACTGCCAAAGATCAAACCGCGGACACCTACCTCAAACTGCTCAAAGTTAGAGTATGCCCCGCTTGCCAGCTTCTTCCTTATGGTGCTAAAATCCATTGGGTGCTCAATCACATCGTGATAGTCAGGAAGCTGGAAGAACCAGCACAGTCACAAACTCCACTCTACTAAAACATTAATATAAGGGTATTGGGGAATGCGGGTGAGAAAATAAAAAGAAACAAATTTGCAGAGCTACCTCCTCTGGATCAACAGGCTCTGCATAAACACCATACGTATCTTTCCTGCAACATTCAACATCAAGGAAGCTCTTAGTTTACAGTTGAAAGAAATGGCATTGTAGGAGAAAGAGACTATATCTGTTTGAACATGACATGTCTCATACTTCTGAAGCTTATCGAGAATCAACTCCAAAGATTTCTTATCCGGCATTGGAGTCCCTAACTGGGAAGCAGACGATGCGCCTGATCAACACAAGCAAAAAATAAATAAACTCAACAACCAAATAAAATTCAAAATTGAAAGACAAAATCAAGAGAAATCCGAAAATTATAACCAACCCAGAACAGAGTTCGTCCTTCTGGAACTGTCATTTCTCCCTCTTTCCTGCCATAAATGGGAAAAATTAATTCTAAAGCAAATATGAGCCAGATATATTTATATAAATAAATATAATGAAGCAAGACAGTGTTTTATGTATGTGATGTGTGACAGAGAAAGAGGAGACAGGAGAGAGAAAGGTGGAGCGTGATCAGATTCTGTGGGGGTTAGTTTTGACGGTTGACCCCCGACAGTTAAAATCAAGAGATAGAGAACCCAACCCGACAGAGAAGTATAATAGAAGCCTGGACCAATTAGAAAAATCTCAGGAGTTTGGATTTTGGGGATTGAGCTGAGCTGGACTCTGCGAGAAGAAGAACAAGAGGGCACACCTATCCTACTACTACTACAGCTACTGATAGTAGTAGTAATGGTGATGAGCCAGCGATTCCTAAACGAATACCTTCTTCTGATCACCAGATCCAATGGACCGTGCATCATCATCTTCATCATCGTCATCACCGTCACCGTCGTCGTAACCGCCGTCATCGCCGTCGATTCTCCGCTTCTTAAAGGGCTTATTACCGTCTCCGTATTCCGAGGAGGAAGCAGACACAACAGCAGTTGTTGCTGCAGCGTCCGAACGAGATTCCGGAGCAGACGCGTGGGCCACGTTCCCCGCATCTGCTCGAGTTAGACTTCCAGACGAGTCAACACCACCGAAACCCGCTTTTTGGGGGAGCTTCAATACCAACTTCAGCTTTTTCTTTCTCCTCTCGTCCTCGTCATCTTCCTCGTCGTCGTCATAGTCGTCGAGGTCGCCGTGGAACGTCAGATTCCGGCGGCGGAGGCTGCGGCGAAGGTCGGTTTCCGGAAGAGGTTCCAACGGCGGGTTCCGGCGAAGACCATCGCGCAGGGCGAGCTCCGCCTTTGACGGTCGGCCTTTCTTCTTCCTCGCGATCTTGCCCATCTTGTCCTTCCCGAGCCTCCGTTTCTCTCTCTCTCTCTCTCTCTCTCTCTCCTCTCTCCTCTTTACGCCATTTTTTCCGTCTTTCGTTTCGCTTGGCTTTTTCGAGGCACTTTTGCTCCCGAGCCCAAGTCCGAGCCTGTGGTTCTAGTAACGAGGCTTAGGGTCGGACCGTTCGAAAGTAGCGAATGATTGTTTCTCCGTCAGAGCCGGCGACGGCGTTAGTAAATCGAGGGCAGCGCCGTTTATTGCTGCCCGTTGCCCGGAAGTGCTTGCGGTTGCGTGTCCCGTTGGCTGCTGCTGGCACTTGCGTCATTTTCCGCGCTTTGGCAAGACGCCGAGACCTACTTACTTGAGAAAGATAGAACTCGCAACACAGAAATATTATTCTCCCTCCTCAATCCTCACCCGAGTCTTGATGATGGGATTGGACTCTGGAGAGTGATGGACCCCGTTAGGAGACAAAGAACGTCGTTTAGCTTGAAGAAACAAATAAAGGGTTAAGAAACGGTTCAGTCTTCAGATCAGTAATCGGGTCAAGCAGGAAGCTTCCCTGCACGAACCATCCTATTCCTATACGATAGAAAGGGATAGCGTGGTCAATCCAAACCACCGTACATATACTAAATGGGTCACATGTCCAATCCTAAGCTTGATATTAGAGATATACCCGAATACTATAGTTGATTATATTCGATCTCAATCCTAAAATAAATAATAATTTTAGGGAAGGGCATAACATTTATGATGTTGAATCAATCGAAAGATTCAAAACGATTAAATGCACTTAGGAAAAACGATGATCGATCCATCGTAGTATTGTGTCTGAGTTCAGTCTCTACTCTCTACACCCAGGGCTGCAAATCTGCAATGTACTAATGGGCCCGCCTAATGGCTCCTCCTCAGTCCTGAGACGATGAATGAATGAATGATGATCCCTCCAGGTGATGGTGGGTAGTTGGGATCAATCAGGTGGTGGTTGGCTGGTTACATTGTTGGATAAAATTCTTCACCAACATCCACTCCCACCTTTCAAAGCTATATATCCCAGTATCCCACCCACTAACTTCCCCATTAGAAATATAGAAGATGAGTAATGTATAAAGTGGGGGAACCTCCCACCTTAATTTTTCATTTTGCTTGCTATGATTTAATTGATTTTTTTGTTAATCGTTCATCATCATCTCTTTTTATTTTTTGTTAAAACCCTTAATTTTCACTTAACTTTTTTTTTATGTTTTACTTGATATATATATATATATGTTAATCATTCATCATCATCTTCTAAGCCTTGTCCCAAACATGTGAGGTTATGAGGTCTCAGCAAATCCAATTTTGCCATTTGGTAATTTGATCCATCACACATTACATGGTAATTTGATCCCATGCCTCCACATTCAAAGGAATGCCAAGTAATCATAATATAGAATGGAATTGGATTAACCCCAAAAACCTTTTTACAAGTTGCAAGCAACAATATTGATTGATCCTTTGGAGAATCTTCCCAGTTAGTATCTTCCATGTAACACCTTTTTGCAGAGGAGTTGAACCCCGAACTGTTTTTGGCATTTCTGTACCTTTCTTTCTGCATCAGTTTCAATTACTGTTTGGGTCCTTTCGTGCAGGTTTGGAATAGATCCCTTTTCTGGTCCTCCCCCACCCCCGACATCTTTGTTATAAAGTCTTCATCTACAGTTAAGAGAACAAAATTTTATGGCTTTCCCTCTCATGAAAACGGAGAAGATGGAGATCCCATGGTTACAACTTACTTAGAAGCAATATGAAATATTAGAGTATTGAGAAGCGGCAGTCAAGAACAATATATAACAGAGTTGAAGAGACTATATATATTCATATAGTTGGATTAACCACAAAGGAATTTCTGTTCTTTTATTTTTTGCCATTTTACAGAAATGATTCATGATAGGATAGATTAATTTCTTGCAGAAAAACCAGTTTCTATCCTCTAAACATGATAATTAAACACAGACACAGACGACACAAAAAATCAAATCTGTCAGATATTATTACCAGGGGATTCTGTGTTTTGATTTTGATGGAAGAAAATAGAAGCATTGAGGAGCATCATTACCAACACATAAGTGCCTTTAGAAAACTGCTAAGCCTAGCTTCCATGTATGTGTTTTCACATGACATGGTTTATCCAACATATTGGCTTGCAGATTTTTAAAGTTTTGTAAAAATGTTTTTGGGTTCTTTATAAATAATAATAATAATAATAATAATTCAGACATGTAAATTGAAACTTTATTCAACAGTCAACACTGCTTTGTTGTCACGAAGCCAAAAAATAAAAATAAAAATAAAAAAATATATATTCAAATGTTGCGTTATTGTCAGCTTATGCCGGTTGGTACATGTACCACTTGAGATATTAAAATTAAAGGAAATATAGTATGTTGACTTGGTGTACCGTGGGGTCCAGCCCACTCACGTTAAGTGGAGAAGAGGGGCAAAAAAGTGAATTCTCTCTCGTCTCTTGGTACGTTTTTTAAAAGAAAATGAGTCCGGAATTGAAAACAAGTTGAAGTGAAGTTGTATTCTTTAAGGTTTCTTTTTTACAAAAAAGAAAAAGTTTTCTTGGATGCTTGAGTTTGCATCTACAATAGAAATTTGTTGTCAAGTACATCAAGAGAGTTATTATTATTTACAAGAGGTTTAATTTAACAAATAGAAATAGAAAGGGATGAGATCTGGCCAAAGGTCTCAGCAAACACAAAGGATAACTCTGATGGGAAAGTGGCAAAACTTTGCTATGTTTGGCCTTAGATGGATATCCCCTTATCACGTTAAGGATTCTCTTATTTATAGGTGAAGGGGAGGGTAATTTCAGGCATGTCAAGAATTCTAAAATATTATTTGGATGCTTACAGAGTCAATACATGTGTCAAGCCGTAATTCATGGAATATATTTTTTTTGATTTCATACTTCCATGTTTGTTCCCTTTGTCCAATTTTATCTTTATTGAGTACTTCCACATAATTGTTTTGTTGAGGGGTGATGAAGGGTGATTTGGCCCAATCTCGTAACAAGGGGATACGTGGACACAACCTGACTAACAGATGATAGTTCAGTATGATCAGCACGCAGCGTAACAGTTTCGAGTACCCACCTATACCGGGCTAAAGTGACCTCGAGACAGGGTCACCCCGAAATGAGATTGCCTCGGTACCAGATCGCAACAAGAACACTTGGCGGCCAAGGCACTTCGACATTCAGTTCAGTTCGGGACTTAAAGGCGTCAGCTAGGGGATACCGACGTACCACTGTGAGGTTCCCGAAAATCCCTCCAACGGTTCCCGGACTTCACGGGATCACGCCGCGTAACAACCAGCGTTATCTCCCCCAGCCGATTCGGGCGAACTCGATAAACCTTATCAGTTAGCAACACCATCTCCCATTATCACGGAAACGGATCTCATCGTGACGAGGATTTTGGAACTACTCCGCGAAACCTACGAGGACTCCATTATATAAAGGCTCCACCCCCAGGGTGCAAGGTATGCGTGATTTCCTGCTCTCAAGCTCTCTTATTTTCAATCAATTTTAACTCGCTACTAGCCTACTGACTTAAGCATCGGAGCGACCTCGCCGGGTTAGCATCTCGAGTTCTTTGATATCCTTGCAGGTTCAGTCCGCCGCCCGTCTGGAAACCAAGTCACCTTCAGTTGGGAGCAGCCAGATCGAGCTAAATCAATTGGTGTCATCTGTGGGAAGCGCTACTAGAAGCCTCTTTCCCCTAAAAATCTCAAACTCAAAATCAATGGCATCCTCTAGCAACGCATGACAGAACGATGAAATGAACGTCTCCGAGGGGAAACCTCAGATCCCGACTGTGTGCATCGGTCAGTTCACCATACCGCTCTCCGCAGGTGGGATCCCAATGCTAACTGTGCCTCAAGAAACTGTGCCCATGAACACCCCACTTCCTCCTGTAGTGGGTGCAACCTTTGTTGAACCATCTGTGGTTCCCCCTGGAATCGGACAACATCAGCTCGACGATCTGGTACATTGCGTGCGGGCTATTCAAGCCCAAATGCAACAGGTCTAGCAATTTCAGCATTACCAGCATCAGGTTTTGCACTACATTTACTAGTAACAGTTCCCACCGCTACAGAAGAATCAACAGCCGGTTCCACCTCGGCATCCGGCAGCACACCAGAACAAGTCTCGTTGTCAAAACAATTGCCCTCCTCGCCGGGGAGAGACTTCCCAGATCCAAAATCCTCTCAGGAGTCAGGTCTCATCCTGTGGCAGGAGGGAAAAACAATTTACCCCTCCTGCCTCGCAGCAAGTGAATAGGTCAGGAGACACTCATCCCGCCAGAGCTACTTCACCTCAGCCCTCGCAACTAGAAGGTTCGCTTGCAGGGAACCGGTTCGAGGTTTTGGCCACAGACTCCAGACGAGGCCCCTCTGTCCACAGCAGCTAGCATCAACAGTCCGAACCTCTCCATGCCAGGACATTGCCCGACAACATGGAGGTCAGCATCACCAATGCGGAGCCAGTTAGGAAGTAGCAAAGGCGGCGTCCTAAGGCACGTCGAGTAGTAGCTCCAAGCCAACTCGTTGGACCAAGTCAGCCCGAGTAGCCTAAAGGAAAAGAGGAGGCGAGCTCGGAAGCCACGAAGACTGCTCCCCTCCTCTCCGTGTCATCTCCTTTGTCCTCCGAGCTCCTGGCCACCCCGATGCCAAAGGACTTCAAAGTACCTTCGCTGGATAAGTATGATGGGTCATTCGACCCAAATGATCATGTAGACTCTTTCCAATCCCAGATGCACCTAGTTGGGGCTGATGAATCTTGCATGTGCGTTGCCTTCTCTATGACCTTCAAAGGAGTAGCTCGCACATGGTACAAGAACCTCGTGCCCGGGACGATCAAGAGTTGGGCGCAGTTCGTGCAAATGTTCACCTCGCACTTCATCACTAGCAAGAAGTGTCCAAGGTCACAAGAAAGCCTCCTCAACATAGTCCAGAGGGAAGGGGAGTCGATTCGAAGCTACATCAAATGCTTCAATGACACTTGTTTGCAGATCCCCGACTTGGATTCCGCTGTAAGACTCACGATAGCAAAGAAGGGTATTACCCACAGGGAATTCAAGTGGCACGTAGTGGCAAACAATCCCAAAGACATCACCGAATTCCACAAGCTCGCCGATCAATTCATTGGGACCAAAGAGGAGATGAACCAAAAGACTAAAGCCCCGGAGGAGAAGAGAAAAAGGAAAGATGACAACCCGAACAACGGTGGCAGCAAAAGAAGAAAAAGAAAATCCCCGACCAGGGGAGGAAACAAGTCAGATCAGCATTCCTGAACTCCTCCGGTTGAAAGGACGAGCTACACGCCCCTCAACACGAAGTGGGGAGAAATCCTCATGGCGATCAAGGATGCCTCTTGTGTGAAGTGCCCA